TCCCTTTGCAGATTCTGCTCTGCATGTTTTCACTTAATAACCCCTAACTGTAAGTGTGATTATATGCTGAGCCTATGAGACCTCCAAATAAAGCCTCTGGTACACTTTCCAATTGGAGCATTTGTGCTTTTTCATCCCCATTTTATTTGAACGGCAGAGAGAGAGAGATCGATCTTCCATCTGCTGGTTCACTCCCCAAATGCCCACAACAACCAGGGCTGGGCCAGACTGACGCCAGGGCCCTGGAGTCCAGTTTGGGTCCCCCACATGTGTCTACTTGATCCATCCCCTGCTGCCTCTGAGGGTGCACACTAGTTGGAAGCTGGATGGGAAGCAGAGAAGCCTGAACCTGAATTGGGCACTCTGGGACAGGATGCAGATGTCCAGAGTGCCAACTTGCCACTGCACACTCCTTTCTCGGGTTTTAAATCCCATTCACGAAGAATAGAATCCTCTCGACTTGGCCCGACAACACTTGACATCTCACATTAACATCAGAAGTTCTTTCAGTTCTCTACTGTCTGATTAAAACAGAGGGAGACGCATTATCTAATGAGCACAACTCGTCTCAGATATGATTCTTTGAAACATTAGATCTGAAGGTGCATGGGGGTTGAGTCAAGTGGGTCATGGGGACACATCACAAAGACAGCGGAAGCAAGCACTTAGAATGCTTTACTAGTTCTTGATTTTATATTTTAGTTATCCCCACCCCTCTCCTAAAATATTCATACCCCAAACCTAGCAACTTTTTCCCTACTTCCACCACTGACTCTTTTTTTTTTGACAGGCAGAGTGGACAGTGAGAGAGAGAGAGACAGAGAGAAAGGTCTTCCTTTGCCGTTGGTTCACCCTCCAATGGCCGCCGTGGCCAGCGCGCCGTGGCTGGCGCACCGCGCTGGTTCGAAGGCAGGAGCCAGGTGCTTCTCCTGGTCTCCCATGGGGTGCAGGGCCCAAGCACTTGGGCCATCCTCCACTGCACTCCCTGGCCACAGCAGAGAGCTGGCCTGGAAGAGGGGCAGCCAGGACAGAATCCGGCGCCCCGACCAGGACTAGAACCCGGTGTGCCGGCGCCGCAAGGCAGAGGATTAGCCTAGTGAGCCCCGGCGCCGGCCTTACCACTGACTCTTAATGTCTTTAATCCTAGAGCTGGTGGAGAGAGCTGCTAGTCAGAGCTACTGTGGATCCTTCTCTAGTCAGATTTTTCCAACCCTCGGATTCCAAGTGATCCTCATCAACTTACCAACAAACGCAGATCTTGTGGGTTCATTTTGTGAAGCTGATGAAGGCTACAACAAACCTCCTCCCCGGGGAGATGCACAGATGTGTGCATGCACACAAACTGTGCACATGATTTCTGTGTGGCCAGGGACCCGGTGAAGTCTACTTATGGACTAGCGCCTAACTTTGTCTGATACAATTTTCTGCAAGGGGAGAAATGCTTTTCTTCTGTGCTGTCCAACATGATGGCAGCCACTAACGTGGGAAGCTATCGAACAGTGTGGCTAGTGTATCTGAGGCAATAAATTTTTTTTAATTATCTTTTGTTGTTGTTGTTAAGGACTTATTTGAAAGGCAGAGTGCAAAGAGAGAGGCAGAGACAAAGAGAGATCTTCCATCCACTGGTTCACTCCTCAAATGCCTACAAAAGCTGGGGCTGGGCCAGGCTGAAGCCAGAATCCCAGAACTCCATCCAGGTCTATCATGCATTTGGGCAATCATTTGCTGTCTTCCCAGGGGTATTAGCAGGAAGCTGGACTGGAAGCAGAGAAGCCAAGATTTGAACTGGCACTGAGATATGGTATGCTCGTGTCCTGAGTGCTGGCTTAACCTGCTGTATACAATGCCCATACCAAAAATGAATTCTTAATTTTGTTAATTTTAATAGCTACTTGGGCCTGATGGCTACTACCGTAGAGACTGCAGATCCAGACTTGACTTTGCTTCTCCACCTACGGCTTTCCGCCCTGGGAGATGCTGGGGCAGCTGGGGAATACCCAGGAGTCCCGGGCATGAGCACTGCTGCTCTGACATGAGGAAGCCGCCCCGTCATCAGCAGACCCGCTCACAGCTGAGTAGCACGGGAGCTCGACAGGACTCAGGGCTGCAAGAAACCTGCCCAAAGCAGACCTGTGTCCTTTTCAGGGCTCAGAGCTATTCGAGCTTCTCCTCCTCTCATCTGCCTAACTATCACTTTTCAGCTGACATGACCAGACAGCACCCTTTACAGAACCTCAGAACCTCTCCCACGGAGGGCACCCAGCATTTGGAGTTTCCAAGATTGGATTAGTTAGGAACAACAAACAGCTCAAAAATAAGACAGGTCGGGGCCGGTGCTGTGCCGCAGTGAGTTAACGCCCTGGCCTGCAGTGCCAGCATCCCATATGGTTCTAGTCCCGGCTGCTCCTCTTCCGATCCAGCTCTCTGCTATGACCTGGGAAAGCAGTGGAAGATGGCCCAAGTCCTTGGGCCCCTGCACCCATGTGGGAGACCTGGAAGAAGCTCCTGCCTTCGGATCAGCGCAGCTCCGGCTGTTGCGGCCACCTGGGGAGTGAACCATCGGATGGAAGACTTTTCTCTTTCTCTGCCTCTCCTCTCTCTGTGTAACTGACTTTCAAATAAATAAATAAATCTTTTTTTTTTTAATTTATTTTTTTTTTGACAGGCAGAGTGGACAGTGAGAGAGAGAGACAGAGAGAAAGGTCTTCCTTTGCCGTTGGTTCACCCTCCAATGGCCGCCACGGCCGGCGCGCTGCAGCTGGTGCACCGCACTGATCCGATGGCAGGAGCCAGGTGCTTCTCCTGGTCTCCCATGGGGTGCAGGGCCCAAGCACCTGGGCCATCCTCCACTGCACTCCCTGGCCACAGCAGAGAGCTGGCCTGGAAGAGGGGCAACTGGGACAGAATCCGGCGCCCCAACCAGGACTAGAACCCGGTGTGCCGGCGCTGCAAGGCAGAGGATTAGCCTAGTGAGCCACGGCGCCGGCCATAAATCTTTAAAAAAGAAAAATAAGACAGGTCACTTACTGTCGCTGCCTCTTCCAGGGCCTGTCTGTTTCCTCCGAGGGCTTAAAAAAGAACATTTTATTTGGTTACTATCAGACTTTAATGATAAGTGATCTTCCCTCATACTAGTGTTATCTTTCTGAAACGGGACCAGGTTGAGCCCTTGGCCCAGCGTTCATAACGTCAACTTCCAGTCTAATCTCTCTCTAAGCTTCAGTCCCCTCTCTCGTGGTCCATTCTTACTTTCCAAAGGCGCCACTGTCACATGGCTTGGTGGCCCGATACTTGGGATTTCCTCTGCCTGAAATTCTCTGCACCTTCTAATTCATCCTTCAAGACAGCGCGAACATGACTAAAACTCTGCTGGTTTTTCTACCATAGCAGATTGCCAGACAGGGCTTTGGTGCTCAGCCTCTTCCTACCCTGCTTTGCGCTGAATTCCAGAGAAAATACTCACAGGCACTGGCAAACAGCTGGTATCCAGTAGAACTGAAGGAAATGTGCGTTGAATGGAAAGAGTCAAGAGATTTAGACGTAGAATAAAAAGTTAGGTTAGCTCCTCCTGCTACACCTTCCACAGCAGGCCGTCTGACAGTTAAGCTCGCTGGCTTTGGAACCACAATGCCTGCGTTCAGACTCGGCCAGCAACCAGGTTATGAGGCTTTGAGCCAGGTAGCCAATCTCTGTGCCTTAATCTTGTCATTTCTAAAATAGGGACGTGGATAATTACCTTGTGATGAGGATAAAGTTAGTTAATATCACATAAAACACTTGGCACAAAGCCCGTCTGACCCAGACAGCACAATATAAATAGGCTTATTGGCTGCCACTCTGTTCTCTCTTTTGCAGTACCTGTGATTTTAACTCTCCATCAGCCTGCCGGCTCCCAAGGCCAATGTCTTCAGCATCTAGCCTTATGACTGAGTAAGCTCCGCGTTTGCAGCAATGAGCAAACCCACGGCTTGATAAAGGGGGAAGCTCAATGTCTGTTATGCGAGCAGAACGTGCATTTGCACCCAGGAAGGAGGCCAGCCACCGTGCTCATTAAGATGAAGGAAAGCAGAGAGAATCAGGCAACCTAGCAGAGGGCCTGCCTACAGTCCGTGTACCCCGGGGGCCGAGACAACCGGGGAAGCGCCCCGGCGAGGGAGGGGACATCGGGAGTGGGAGGCCGCAGTGGGCCCGCGGCTCTCCCCGAGTGGCCAGCGTTCCGACAGGTGCCTTCCGAGGGCCTCGCCGCCCCCACGGCCGGGGTGCAGGCCGGGGCCTGGGCAGAGCGGGGCGGCTCTTACCGAAGTAGTCGAGCCAGTTCATCTCGCGCAGCGCCTTGGGGAGCCGGAGCACCTCGATGTTGTACAGGTTGTCCACCTCCTTGAGGAGGTTCTGCCTGTCGGACTCGATCTGCTTCATCCGCACTTGCACTGCGACGGGGCACAGACGGGCGGGACGCGGGTCACCCACAGTGCCGGGTCCCCGCTGCCCGCGCCCCGCCAGCGCCAGCATCCCGACGACCGCCCGGGCTCTGCCCCTTACCCTCGCGGTCGAAGTCCTTCAGAAAGGAGGCGAGCTTCCGGCTCCGCAGCGAGTTGGTCTTGGCCACCCGACTGCTGCCCTTCCTAGGAGCCATGGCGCTTCGGCGGAGGCCGCAGGGCGCGGGGGCGCCGAGCCACAGGGAGCAACGGAAGAGGTGTAGGGGGCGGAGAAGGGAGAAAGGAGTCCCCTCCTAGGGGGTCTGGGCCTAAAAAAGACGCGAGAGCAATACCTGAGGGTCGCGAAACAAGGACTAAGAAAAGCTGCGCCGCTCCGGCAGGGGAGGAGTGGCTCTGTAGCTAACCGCCATCAATTCAAACTCAACTGCCACCGGCTGGCGAATGAGAAGTCGCCGACTTAGGACGGCGCCGTAACGTCCAATCACCAGGAAGCTCCACAATCAAGCAGCCAATCACACGTAGGACTACATCGCCCAGAAGTCATTGCGGCTTGACGCCTTATTTCCGTGCCTCGGCGACTGCGTCGGCGCGAGGCTGTATGTTAGGGGCGGTCGTCCTGAGCGTGTGCCGGGAGTAGACGCGGACGCTGGCGCGTATTGGAGGATGTGGTTGTATTTCGCGCTTTGACTTTCTTGGCTGTACGTTTTGCCGCTGACTCTGGAAACGCAACCGGTAGCCTCAAGCAAGAGACAGGATTTCGGCCCCGGAAGCGCGGATCTGAGGGGAGAGGGGACTCGGGCCCTGGAGTCCGCGGTCTGACGCCGGAGACCGCCCTGCCCGGCTCTTGGAGAGCAGCCGGAGCGCCGCGAAGTGGAGAACAAGGGTCCTCACCCCTTCAGCGCCTCGCGTCCGGAGGGACGTGGAGGCCAGAGCCCGAGGTCGGAATAAACTCCCGCCGGCTTGGCCCCCTCCGGCCATTCCGTCCCCAGCCTTTGCCGTTCTCCTGCGGAGATGACTGCGGACCGGCCGTTGCTGGCCGTGCGGGAGGCGCTCAGGCGCTGCTTCCCCGCCGTGGAGGAGCAGCAGGGGCTGTGGCAGGGCGCCCTGCGGGACTGCCAGCCCCTAGTGGCCGCGCTCAGCAACCTGGCCGAGCAGATGCAGGCCTCGCAGAGCGTGCGCTTCGAGGACGTGCCGGCGCTCCGGGCCTTCCCCGACTTGCAGGAGCGGCTGAGGCGCAAGCAGCTGGAGGCGGGAGACGCCGTCCTGGACAAGCTCGGGGAGAGGCTGTAAGGGGCTCCAGAGGGGCAAAGCGGGCGCTTCTGGCCCTGGGGGGCGGAGTGGGGGCGGCCCGGCCTGGCTGTCGGTTGCCCCGGGTCGGCTGTGCGAGGGCCCTTTTCTGGCATTTGCCTTGTCAGAGACCCGGAAGGGCAGTGGTGGGCGAGCAGAAGGGAGAAGGAATGGAGCCCGCGTGTTAGTCTGCCTCTGTAGTTCTCACTGGTAAGAGGCCGTGAGGGCTGTGGTGTAGACTCGGCAGGTGCCAGAGCCAAGGGTTTTATGTCGGCCGGCCCGGGGAGTTGGGCCTGGTCAGAGCCCAGCCCTCACCCCCACTTTGTTCTGTGCCCGTGACGGGCCTCCCAGCTCAGATTTCCGCGTGTGGCTGGACCCTCCGCCTCACCTTAGGAGGATGCTTAAAAGGCTTGTGGAGAACTGGAATGAAAAGAAATTTATTTCGGTGGGAAGCATTTTTTTGGAATCCAGGTGTAGCCTTTTCATAATTCACAGTTTCCCATGAACTTTTTGAGGTCCTCTCATATGCATGGGTTTCAAAAAAAATTTTTGTGCCATAATAAACTTACTTAATTTCATTTTCCATGGACTTTTTGAAATATGCATAGATTATTCCCGATGGACAGAGCACCTGTTCCTTGACCCAGAACAAAAGACAGTTCCAGTATAGTGTCTGTGCCACAGACTAACACAGGAAACTGTCAAAGATGAGGACCTTCCTTTCATTCATTTTTTTTTAAAGATTTATTTTATTTATTTGAAAGACAGTGTTACAGAGAGAGGTAGAGACAGAGAGAGAGGTCCATCCATCCATCTGGTTCACTCCCCAGATGGCCGCAACGGCTGGAACTGCGCCAATTCGAAGCCACGAGCCAGGAGCTTCTTCCAGGTCTCCCACGTGGGTGCAGGAGTCCAAGGACTTGGGCCATCTTCTACTGCTTTCCCAGGTCATAGCAGAGAGCTGGATCAGAAGTGGAGCAGCCGGGACTAGAACCAGCGACCATATGGGATGCTCGCACTGCAGGCCAGGGCTTTAACCCACTGCCCTCTTTCATTCATTTATACAAATGCATTTATTTATTTTAAAGTTGTTTTTTTTTTTTTTTTTTTTGAAAGGCAGAATTTACACAGAGAAGGAGAGGCAGAGAGAGAAAGGTCTTCCACCCACTGGTTCACTTCCCAATTGGCTGCAACGGCTGGAGCTGCACCAGTCAGGAGCCAGGAGCTTCTTCGGGTCTCCTATGCAGGTGCAGGGCCCCCAGGACTTGGGCCATCTTCTACTGCTTTCCCTGGCCATAGCAGAGAGCTGGATCGGAAGAGGAGCAGCCGGGACTCGTGCCAGCAATGCAGGTGTTGGTGGCTTTACCCGCTGCGCCACAGCGCTGGCCTCCAAAATGCATTTATTAGATACCAATGGGATGCCAAATACAAGGTGCTAAGAATACATCAATGAACCAGCGTTCTGATGATAGTCACGTGGAAGAGATGGCCAGCCCGCCAGGTTCTGGGGTGTTCTGAGATGGTAGTCACAGCCTGTTGGGGAAGGGACGTGGAAAGCCCGACGGATGCGCAGATGTGGAAATGAGTGGTGCTGCCTAGGGAACGGGTGGCTGGAGTGGAGGTGGGAGTGAAAGAGGGGAGCCAGTTTGTGAGGTGCACGTGACTGGCGTATCCGTCTCTGGCTTCCAGAGCGAGGGGAGTTTGGTGAGGCGTGAGGGCAGAAGTTGCCAAGAGCCTCCTGCGTAGACAGTTTCAGTATAGCTCCTTAGGAGCTGTTGAGAAGCTCTGTGGACGTGGGAGACCTGGAAGAGCTCCCGGCTTCTGGCTTCGGATTGGCTCAGCTCCAGCTGTTGCGGCCAACTGGGGAGTGAACCAGCGGATGGAAGACCTCTCTTTCTCTCTGTCTCTGCTTCTCCTCGCTGTGTAACTCTTTCAAATAAATAAATAAATCTTTAAAAAAAAAAAAAAAAGCTCTGTGGGAATCGACATTGATTATTCTGGTGAAACAGTGGGCTTAGTCCAGATGTGCGTCAGCAGAATAAAGGCAGCGTGGGATATTGAGCCCTAAAGAGGAGAGCCTGGCACACATGGGAGAGCTTTACAAACAGCATGCTACAGCAGAGGAGCCAGACAGTAAAAAGCCACATGGTGTGTGATTCCATCTGTAATGTCTCCAACAGTGGGTGCATGGGAGAGGAAGGAGATGGCGGCCGCAGGGCCGGGATGGAGGGGCGCCTGGGGGAGTGAGTACTGGATGAAGGTTTCATTTCAGGAAGACGGAGGCGTTGTGGGACTGGATGGTGATGCTTGCTCGATTTTGTGAATATGAGAAAGCCCACTCAATTTTGTACTTATTTTAAAAAATAAGCTTATTTTTAGAGCAGTTTTGGTTTCCCAGCAATACTGAGTGGAAGGAATAGAGAATGCTCTGTGTCCCCTGTCCCCACACAGGCTCACCTCCCCACTGGCTACATGGCGCAGCACAGTGAGGCATTGTGACCGTTGCTGACGTGACACTGACCTTTATCCCTGCAAGTCCGTCCTTCGCATCAGCATCCGCTTCCTGTGGGTCAGGACAGACATGGGGATAGCGTACACCAGTGTCACATACAGAGTAGTCTTCCACAAGGTGTTCCCTTTTTTTCTGAAATATAACTCACAAACGATAAAACTCAGTCTTTAAATGTATACAAGTTACAGTGAGGGGCCGGCGCTGTGATGTAGCGGGTGAAGCTACCGCCGCCTGCAATGCCAGCATCCCATGTGGGTGCTGGTTCGAGTCTTGGCTGCTCCTTTTCTGATCCAGCTCTCTGCTATGGCCTGGGAAAGCAGTAGAAGGTGGCCTAAGTTCCTGGGCCCCTGTGCCTATGTGGAAGACCAGAAGACGCTCTTGGCTCCTGGCTTCAGACCAGCCCAGCTTTGGCCATTGTGGCCATTTGGGGAGTGAACCAGCGGATGACTTTTCTCTCTTTTTGCCTCTGCCTCTCTGTAACTCCGCCTTTCAAATAAATGAATAAATCTTCAAAAAAAATTATTTGAGAAGCAAAGGGAGAGAGATCTTGCACCCGTTGTTTTACTCCCCAGTGGTTGCAACAGCCAGGGCTGGGCCAGGTCAAAGCCAGGAGCCAGAAACTCCATCTGGTCTCCCACGAGTGGCAGGGACCCATGCACTTGGACCATCATCCACTGCCTTCCCCAGCCACATTAGCAGGGAGCTGGATTGGAAGTGGAGCAGCCATGACAAACCGGATTTCAAAATGGGATGCCAGCATCACAAGCGGAGGCTCAAACAGCTGCACCACGATGCTGGCCCCCAAGCCGATGGCTTACACGTGAGGAAGAGTAGCTTTCCTGGGTCCTGCAGAGGCAGACACTGGCATTCTAGAATTCCCTAGGCTGGGGCTAAGGAGCGTGTGGCTAGAAATGGCTGGTTGCTCCAGTGTCCTCTGCTTGTTCCCCTTTGTTTACGTGCCTTGGGACAATGAGCATCTGCTCTCCTTAGGCAGTTTTATGGCATCCCTAGAAGACTTTTTGGTCTTCACTTTTCTCTGGCAACAGGGCTTCCTGTTCAACTTTAAGAACAATGTACCTAGGACCATTGCAGTGGCCTACGGAGTAAAGCTGCCACCTGCAGTACCGACATCCCATATGCTCTATTTCCAACCCAGCTGCTTGCTGAGGGCCTGGGAAAACAGCGGAAGATGGCCCAAGTACTTGGGAGATCTAGGAGAAATTCCTGGCTCCTGGCCTCAGATGGGCCCAGCTCCAGCTGTTGGCGGCCATTTGGGAAGTGAACAAGTGGATAGATCTTGTTCTCAGGCCGGCGCTGCGGCTCACTAGGCTAATCCTCTGCCTTGCGGCGCCGGCACACCCGGTTCTAGTCCCGGTCGGGGCACCGGATTCTGTCCCGGTTGCCCCTCTTCCAGGCCAGCTCTCTGCTGTGGCCTGGGAGTGCAGTGGAGGATGGCCCAAGTGCTTGGGCCCTGCACCCCATGGGAGACCAGGATAAGTACCTGGCTCCTGCCATCAGATCAGCGCGGTGCGCTGGCCATGGCGGCCATTGGAGGGTGAACCAACGGCAAAGGAAGACCTTTCTCTCTGTCTCTCTCTCTCTCTCACTGTCCACTCTGTCAAAAAAAAAAAAAAAAAGTAGATCTTGTTCTCTTTCTGTAACTCTGCCTTTCAAATAAATGTTAATTTTTTTTAAAATGTACCATGCCCCTTCTTCAGCCTCTTTCCCTAAGTCAGGTCTTGATTCTTTAAAAAAACAAAACAAACAAACAAACAAACAAAAAACCTATTTATTCATATTTGAAAGAGTTACAGGGGTAGAGGGATCTTCCATCTGCTGGCTCGCTCCCAGATGGTTACAGCCACTGGGGCCGGGCTGGGCTGGGCCGGGCCAGGCTGAGGCTTGGAGCCAGCACCTTTTTCTAGGTCTCCCTCATGGGTGCAGGGGCCCAAGGACTTGGGCCATCTTCTGCTAACTCTGCCAGGTGTGTTAGCAGTGAGCTGGATTAGATGTGGAACAGCTGGGACTCAAACCGGACCCCATATGGGATGCTGGCGCCACAGGTGGTGGCTTAACCCTCTAAGCCACGACTCCGGCCCTGTTCTTGATTCTTGTTCACCTCTGCTGTCACTAATCTGCTGAGAGCAGTGGTCTCCGGAGTAGTTTTCCGGCAGGGGGCATCTGGCGCTATCTGGAGATGTTCCTGGTTGTGGCAACTTGGGGAGGATGGCAGCACAGTGGCTGCCACGGAGGGGGCCGAGGTCAGGCACGCTGCTGACCAGCCTGCAGCACGCAGGCCAGCTTCCACAGCCAAAAGCCGTCTGATCCAGGCCTAGAACCTTCTTTGCCGGGTTCCTTTTTCGTGGTGTCACCTGATGTCATTCTCTTCCCCCAGAGCCACCCTCCTCAAGGTGCGCGACACGGTCAGCAGCCAGGTGGAGCGAGTGTTCCAGGTGTATGAACAGCACGCGGACACGCTTGGCCTGGACGCCGTCCTGCAGCCCTCGGCGGCGAGCCCCTCTGTGGCCGACATGTTAGAATGGTTGCAAGACATGGACAGACATTACCGAAACTCGTATCCTTTGCACACGCTGTGTCCACAGCTGTTTGTTTTATTAGACAGCTGTATCCTTTGGGTCAGTCCTCTCTGGTTCTTGAGCTTGGATTCCTCCTGAGTCCCTTAGTACAAGGAGTCCCCAAGAATTGTATCGAGCAGCCACTACCTCCCGGGTACTTGCTAGGTGCTTGAGACAGGCATTAAAAATACAGAAGGTCAGGTGGTGGTAAGCACCGTGGAGGGGCCTGTGACTTTAAATAAGGCGGGCAGGGCGGCCTCATGAGAAAGGTCTGTGGTGGGTAATGGAGAGGGCCGTGTGAATACTTGGCATGTTGCAGCCCGAGGGAGCATCCCGTCTGAAGGCTCTGAGCGGAGAGCATGCTTGGCAGACTCAGGAGACAGCAAGGGCGCCCCCGTGGCCAGAGCAGAGTCCTGGGGGGAGTCTCGCAGGCCGTGAAGCTGCTGAGATGGCGCCAGATGTTGCAGAGCCCTGAGGTCTTTGGAAGGATTCCTTTTTATGATTTTTTTGTTTATTAAGGGACACAGAGAGATCTTCCATCTACTGGTTCACTCACAAAATGCCCACAACAGCCCGATCCAGCCAGGCCACAAGCCAGAACAATCCAGGTGTCCCACGTGGATGGCGGAGACCCACATCCTGCAGCCTCCGGGAGTGTGCATTAGCAGGAAGCTGGAGTCTGGCAGAACGGGGACTGGGGTTTTCAAGTGGAGGAGTGACATGATGAGATCAGTGTTTTCCATGGTATCGGGCCGGCTGTGTTCTGGGGAAGGGCTTGGGGGACAAGGGTGGAAGCAGGAAGTCCAGTTAGTTAAGGTTGGGGCCTTTTTCTCTTGAGTCTTTTTTTTTTTTAAAGATTTATTTATTTATTTATTTGAAAGTCAGAGTTACACAGAGAGAGGGAGAGGCAAGAAGACAGAGAGATCTTCCATCCGCTGGTTCACTCCCCAAATGGCCACAATGGCCGGAGCTGTGCTGATCAGGAGCCAGGAGCTTCTTCCGGGTCTCCCACGTGGGTGCAGGGGCCCAAGGACTTGGGCCATCTTCTACTGCTTTCCCAGGCCATAGCAGAGAGCTGGATCGGAAGTGGAGCAGCCGGAACTAGAACTGGGCCCATATGGGGTGCCAGCACGTCAGGCCAGGGCATTAACCCGCTGCGCTACAGCCCCTCTCTAGAGTCTTGCCCAGTGCTCCCATGGAGCGTCCGGCTCCATGTGGATGCCTCACAAACCCCAGCCTCTGTGTCGCCTCTGGTATTTGGGGCGTTTGAGTCCCTGCAGATGCCTGCAACTGGGTGGCTCATAGAACTGCAAGCTCGGGGTTAACGCTGAGCTTCTCGGTCTGAGCCGCACGCTGCACCCCTCTTCCTTAGCTGTAGCATCAGCCCTGTCTGATGACCCAGTCTGGGAGCGTAAGGGCCTTCTCTCTCCTCTCCCTCCCTGTGTGCCTTAATTGTAACAGGGTCCTCGCACCAGCAGCGGCAGCCGCCCTGACCGCGCGCTCACTGTGCGCTCACAGTGCTTACACCGGCGCTCATCGAGCCCTCCGTCCCCATTCCCCTGGTGCTGCCTATCCTTTCCTTGCCTCCGTCCCCTCGGCTGCATCCCTGTTTGTTTTGTTTTGTTTTGTTTTAAAGAATTTATTTATTTGAGAGGTGGAGTTGCAGACAGAGAGGGAGAGAAAGAGAAAGATCTTCCATCCACTGGTTCACTCCCTAAATGGCCGCAACAATCAGAGCTGGACCAATCCAAAGCCAGGAGCTTCTTCTGCGTCTCACACGGGTGCAGGAGCCCAAGGATCTGGGCCATCCTCTACTGCTTTCCCAGGCCATCAGCGGGGAGCTGGGCGGAAGTGGAGCAGCCGGGACTTGAACCGGCGCCCATATGGGATGCCAGTGCTGCAGGTGGAAGCTCAGCCAGTACACTACAGCACCGGCCCCCACTTCCATTTTCTTTTTGAGTAGTCCTTAGCTTCCGGAAGGTACCTGAAGAGAAAGGACCTCCTCTCCTCCATCCAGTGGGGAGACTTGGCCAGCATCCAAGCTTTGCCCCAGGCCTGGGACCGAATTCCAGAAGCGGAACACCAAGAGTTCGTGCAAGGTGCTGGCTTTGTCTATCCCTTCCTGCGTCCGCTCCTCCCTTATTTCCCTGCACTCACCTCCCACGCCTCCCTTCTTTCCCGCGCTCACCTCTCGCTCCTCCCTTCTTTCCCGTGCTCACCTCCCACTCCTCCCTTCTTTCCCGTGCTCACCTCCCCCTCCTCCCTCCTTTCCCGCGCTCACCTCCCGCTCCTCCCTTCTTTCCCATGCTCACCTCTCCCACTCCTCTTTCCCCACGCTCACCTCTCCCACTCCTCCCTTTTTTCCCCCGCACTCACCTCCCCCTCCTCCCTTCTTTCCCGTGCTCACCTCCCCCTCCTCCCTTCTTTCCCGTGCTCACCTCCCCCTCCTCCCTTCTTTCCCGTGCTCACCTCCCCCTCCTCCCTTCTTTCCCGCACTCACCTCCCCCTCCTCCCTTCTTTCCCGCGCGCACCTCCCCCTCCTCCCTTCTTTCTCGTGCTCACATCCCGCTC